GTGAGTGAATGCCAGGGGCTAGACAAGAGATGGAGTGATGGGTAAGTGGGTGAGTGAGTGAGTGGGTGAGTGGGTGAGTGAATGCCAGGGGCTGGACAAGAGATGGAGTGATGGGTAAGTGGGTGAGTGAGTGGGTGAGTGAGTGGGTGGGTGAGTGTGTGGGTGAGTGAGTGGGTGAGTGGGTGGGCGAGTGCCACGGGCTGGACAAGAGATGGAGTGATGGGTGTGTTGGTGAGTGAGTGAGTGGGTGAGTGAGTGGGTGAGTGAGTGAGTGGGTGAGTGAGTGGGTGAGTGAGTGAGTGGGTGATGAGTGAGTGGGTGAGTGAGTTGGTGAGTGAGTGAGTGAGTGGGTGATGAGTGAGTGGGTGAGTGAGTGGGTGAGTGAGTGGTTGAGTGAGTGGGTGGCTAGGTGGGTGAGTGAGTGAGTGGGTGAGTGGCTGAGTTGGTGGGTGAGTGAGTGAGTGGGTGAGTGAGTGGGTGGGTAGGTGGGTGATTGGGTGGGTGAGTGAGTGAGTGAGTGGGTGAGTGAGTGGGTGAGTGAGTGGGTGAGTGGGTGGGTGGGTGAATGAGTGGGTGAGTGGCTGAGTGAGTGTGTGGGTGAGTGAGTTGGTGAGTGAGTGAGTTGGTGAGTGGGTGGGTGAGTGCCAGGGGCTGGACAAGAGATGGAGTGATGGGTGGGTGAGTGAGTGGGTGAGTGGGTGAGTGAGTGAGTAAGTGAGTGGGTGAGTGGGTGGGTGAATGGGTGCAAGGGGCTGGACAAGAGATGGAGTGATGGGTGTGTTGGTGAGTGAGTGAGTGGGTGGGTGAGTGAGTGAGTGGGTGAGTGAGTGGGTGAGTGAGTGGGTGAGTGAGTGAGTGAGTGGGTGGGTGAGTGAGTGGGTGAGTGAGTGGGTGAGTGAGTGAGTGGGTGAGTGCCAGGGGCTGGACAAGAGATGGAGTGATGGGTGTGTTGGTGAGTGGGTGAGTGAGTGGGTGAGTGCCAGGGGCTGGACAAGAGATCAAGTGATGGGAGTGTTGGTGAGTGATTGGGTGGGTGAGTGAGTGGGTGAGTGGGTGAGTGGGTGAGTGGGTGGGTGAGTGGGTGAGTAAGTGAGTGGGTGGGTGGGCGGGTGGGTGATTGGGCGGGTAGGTGATTGGGCGGGTGAGGAGTGGGTGAGTGAGTGGGTGAGTGAGTGGGTGAGTGGGTGAGTGAGTGGGTGAGTGAGTGGGTGAGTGGGTGAGTGAGTGAGTGAGTGGGTGAGTTAGTGATTGAGTGGTTGAGTGAGTGTGTGGGTGGGCGGGTGGATGAGTGAGTGACTGGGTCAGTGGCTGAGTGGGTGGGTGAGTGAGTGTGTGGGTGAGTGAGTGGGTGAGTGAGTGTGTGGGTGGGTGAGTGAGTGAGTAGGTGAGTGGGTGGGTGAGTGAATGTGTGGGTGAGTGAGTGAGTGAGTGGGTGAGTGAGTGGGTGGGTGGGTGAGTGAGTGAGTGAGTGGGTGGATGAGTGAGTGAGTGAGTGGGTGAGTGAGTGAGTGGGTGGGTGGGTGAGTGAGTGAGTGGGTGAGTGACAGGGGCTGGACAAGAGATGGAGTGATGGGTTTGTTGGTGAGTGAGTGAGTGGGTGAGTGAGTGAGTGGGTGAGTGAGTGAGTGGGTGAGTGAGTGAGTGGGTGAGTGAGTGAGTGAGTGGGTGAGTGACAGGGGTGGACAAGAGATTGAGTGATGGGAGTGTTGGTGAGTGATTGGGTGAGTGAGTTAATGGGTGAGTGACAGGGGTGGACAAGAGATGGAGTGATGGGTGTGTTGGTGAGTGAGTGGGTGAGTGAGTGGGTGAGTGAGTGAGTGAGTGGGTGAGTGACAGGGGTGGACAAGAGATGGAGTGATGGGTGTTTTGGTGAGTGAGTGGGTGAGTGAGTGAGTGGGTGAGTGAGTGAGTGGGTGAGTGAGTGAGTGGGTGAGTGAGTGAGTGAGTGGGTGAGTGACAGGGGTGGACAAAAGATGGAGTGATGGGTGTGCTGGTGAGTGGGTGAGTGAGTGAGTGAGTGGGTGAGTGAGTGGGTGGGTGGGTGATTGGGTGGGTGAGTGAGTGAGTGGGTGAGTGAGTGGGTGAGTGAGTGGGTGAGTGGGTGGGTGGGTGAATGAGTGGGTGAGTGGCTGGGTGAGTGAGTGGGTGAGTGAGTGAGTGTGTGGGTGAGTGGGTGAGTGAGTGAGTGAGTGGGTGGGTGATTGGGTGGGTGAGTGAGTGGGTGAGTAGGTGAGTGAGTGCCAGGGGCTGGACAAGAGATGGAGTGATGGGTGGGTGAGTGAGTGGGTGAGTGAGTGAGTGAGTAAGTGAGTGGGTGAGTGAGTCGGTGGGTGAAGGGGTGCAAGGGGCTGGACAAGAGATGGAGTGATGGGTGTGTTGGTGAGTGAATGAGTGGGTGGGTGGGTGAGTGGGTGAGTGAGTGGGTGAGTGAGTGAGTGGGTGGGTGAGTGAGTGGGTGAGTGAGTGGGTGGGTGAGTGCCAGGGGCTGGACAAGAGATTGAGTGATGGGAGTGTTGGTGAGTGATTGGGTGGGTGGGTGAGTGGGTGAGTGGGTGAGTGAGTGGGTGAGTGGGTGAGTGGGTGGGTGAGTAAGTGAGTGGGTGGGTGGGCGGGTGGGTGATTGGGCGGGTGAGTGAGTGGGTGAGTGAGTGGCTGAGTGGGTGAGTGAGTGGGTGAGTGGGTGAGTGAGTGTGTGGGTGAGTGAGTGGGTTAGTGGGTGAGTGAATGATTGAGTGGTTGAGTGAGTGTGTGGGTGGGCGGGTGGGTGAGTGAGTGGGTCAGTGGCTGAGTGGGTGGGTGAGTGAGTGAGTGGGTGAGTGAGTGGGTGAGTGAGTGGGTGGGTGGGTGGGTGAGTGAGTGAGTGGGTGGGTGAGTGAGTGAGTGGGTGAGTGAGTGTGTGGGTGGGTGAGTGAGTGAGTAGGTGAGTGGGTGGGTGAGTGAGTGTGTGGGTGAGTGAGTGGGTGAATGAGTGGGTGGGTGGGTGGGTGAGTGAGTGAGTGGGTGAGTGAGTGAGTGAGTGGGTGAGTGAGTGAGTGGGTGGGTGAGTGAGTGAGTGAGTGGGTGAGTGACAGGGGCTGGACAAGAGATGGAGTGATGGGTGTGTTGGTGAGTGAGTGAGTGAGTGGGTGAGTGAGTGGGTGAGTGAGTGGGTGAGTGAGTGAGTGGGTGAGTGAGTGGGTGAGTGACAGGGGTGGACAAGAGATGGAGTGATGGGTGTGCTGGTGAGTGGGTGAGTGAGTGGGTGAGTGACAGGGGTGGACGAGAGATGGAGTGATGGGTGTGCTGGTGAGTGGGTGAGTTAGTGGGTGAGTGACAGGGGTGGACAAGAGATGGAGTGATGGGTGTGTTGGTGAGTGACTGGGTGAGTGAGTGGGTGAGTGAGTGAGTGGGTGAATGAGTGAGTGGGTGAGTGAGTGAGTGGGTGAGTGACAGGGGTGACCAAGAGATGGAGTGATGGGTGTGCTGGTGAGTGAGTGGGTGAGTGAGTGAGTGAGTGACAGGGGTGGACAAGAGATGGAGTGATGGGTGTGTTGGTGAGTGAGTGGGTGAGTGAGTGGGTGAGTGAGTGAGTGAGTGGGTGAGTGAGTGAGTGGGTGAGTGACAGGGGTGGACAAGAGATGGAGTGATGGGTTTGCTGGTGAGTGAGTGGGTGAGTGACAGGGGTGGACAAGAGATGGAGTGATGGGTGTGCTGGTGAGTGGGTGAGTGAGTGAGTGGGTGAGTGACAGGGGTGAACAAAAGATGGAGTGATGGGTGTATTTGTGAGTGAGTGAGTGGGTGAGTGGGTGAGTGAGCGGGTGAGTGACAGGGGTGGACAAGAGATGGAGTGATGGGTGTGCTGGTGAGTGAGTGAGTGGGTGAGTGGGTGAGTGAGTGGGTGAGTGGGTGAGTGAGCGGGTGAGTGACAGGGGTGGACAAGAGATGGAGTGATGGGTGTCCTGGTGAGTGAGTGGGTGAGTGGTTGAGTGAGTGGGTGAGTGAGTGGGTGAGTGACAGGGGTGGACAAGAGATGGAGTGATGCGGTCCATCCAGCACGGGCCTCGAGAGACCTTCAGGAGCCCTGCCACAATTTGAGATTGCGACGTTTTATACGTAGCCGGTTCCAGCCCTGGAACGTTACAGGAGGATCCGGATCCCATTCATTTCAACGCAGCGCGAATAACAAGAAACGGGAACCCGCGTCACGGGGGCGGGGCGGCGGGGCGGGGCTGGGGGAGGGGCGGGATCAGTATCCGGATCCTCCATTCACTATATGGATCCGGATCCCCATCTCCCATGTTAAGCTATGGGGGGGGTCCCCTTCAAATTGCATTGAGTTCGGGATCCGGTTCCGTGGTTATGCTGAGCTATGGCGGCGGTAGGAGGGGGCAGAGCGAGACGGGCGTGGCCAGGAATATGGATGGGGCGTGCCTACGATTGAAGGGGGGAGTGGCGAGGAAGAGGTGGGCGTGGTTACAAGTGAAAGGGGGAGTGGCTATGTAGGGGTGGGCTTGGCGACGAGTGAGGGGGGGAGTGGCTAGGGAGAGGTGGGCTTAGCCACGAGTCAGGGGGAGGGGCGATGCAGAGGTGGGCGTGGCTACGAGCGTGTGTGTGGCGGGAGGGGTGAGGATCCGGTTCCACTATAAAGGCGTCGCGCGTCGCCCACAGCACGGACCGGAGTCGAGTCGCGCACTCCCGCGGGGCCTCCTCCACTGCCTCCGCCGCCGTCTCCGCCGCCGCCGTCTCCGCCGCAATCCGTCGTCGCCGCCGCCGCAATCCGTCGCAATCCGCGGTGAAATGTGACCGCCATCGTCTGGAGAGGGCGACCAACTCGTAGCGGGGACCCCCGCGCGTCTCGCCGCCGGGAGGCCCCAGCCGCTAGAAGCTCCTCGCGAGCAGCAGCCGCAGCCGCCGCGGGAAGACGACGACGAAGACGAAGAAGACGACGACGACTTTGGGATTTTTTTCCTCTCCTCACCACCACCGCCGCCTCCTCCGCCGCCCTCCCTCGTCACCCCCCGCGCCCCGCCCCTCACCACCCCCCCCCCCCCCCCCTGGTAAAATGGCGGCCATGCAGAAGGCAGCTTCGCCAATTCACCACCAACAACAACAACAACAGCACCACAACAACAACAACGGCCAACACCACCACCACCCTCCTCCGCCTCCTCCGCCGCCGCCTCCTCTATCCCCTCCGCCGACATCGTCACCATCGTCGACGGCGACTTCCCCTCACCATCACCTCCATCACCACCACCACCATCACCACAGTCAGCCCCAGCCGCAGCAGCAGCCACAGCAACAACAGCCACAGCAGCCGCAGCTGTTGCAGGGCAGAACGGCGCCGGTACGGATCGGCTACTACGAGATCGAGAGAACCATCGGCAAGGGGAACTTCGCCGTGGTGAAGCTCGCGACACACATCATCACCAGGGCCAAGGTAGCCAGCTCCAGCCGCGGCCCATTAAACTGTGGTGGTGGTGATGGTTGTGGTGGTTGTGGTGGTGGTGATGGTTGTGGTGGTGATGGTTGTGGTAGTGGTGATGATTGTGGTGGTGGTGATGGTTGTGGTGGTGGTTGTGGTGGTGATGGTGATCATCACCAGGGCCAAGGTAGCCAGCTCCAGCCGCGGCCCATTAAACGGTGGTGGTGATGGTTGTGGTGGTGATGGTTGTGGTGGTGATGGTTGTGGTGGTGATGGTTGTGGTAGTGGTGATGGTTGTGGTAGTGGTGATGATTGTGGTGGTGGTGATGATTGTGGTGGTGATGGTTGTGGTGGTGGTGATGGTTGTGGTGGTGGTGATGGTTGTGGTGGTGGTTGTGGTGGTGATGGTGATCATCACCAGGGCCAAGGTAGTCAGCTCCAGCCGCGGCCCATTAAACTGGTGGTGGTGATGGTTGTGGTGGTGGTGATGGTTGTGGTGGTGGTGATGGTTGTGGTGGTGGTGGTGATGGTTGTGGTGGTGGTGGTGGTTGTGGTGGTGGTTGTGGTGGTGGTTGTGGTGGTGGTGGTGGTTGTGGTGGTGATGGTTGTGGTGGTGATGGTTGTGGTTATGATGGTGATCATCACCAGGGCCAAGGTAGTCAGCTCCAGCCGCGGCCCATTAAACGGTGATGGTTGTGGTGGTGATGGTGATCATCACCAGGGCCAAGGTAGCCAGCTCCAGCCGTGGCCCATTAAACTGTGGTGGTGATGGTTGTGGTGGTGGTTGTGGTGGTGATGGTGATCATCACCAGGGCCAAGGTAGCCAGCTCCAGCCGTGGCCCATTAAACGGTGGTGGTTGTGGTGGTGATGGTTGTGGTGGTGATGGTTGTGGTTTAGTGGTGGTGGTGATGATGGTGATCATCACCAGGGCCAAGGTAGCCAACTCCAGCCGCGGCCCATTAAACGGCGGTGATGGTTGTGGTGGTGATGGTTTTGGTGGTGGTGATTGTTGTTGTGGAGGTGGTGGTGATTGTTATTGTGGAGGTGGTGATGATGCTCGTCGTGGTGGTGGTGGTCGTGGTGGTGACGGTTAGACTGGTTTGGTGGTGGTGATGATGGTGATGGTTAGACTGGTGTGGTGATGGTTAGACTGGTGTGGTGGTGATGATGGTGATGGTTAGACTGGTGTGGTGATGGTTAGACTGGTGTGGTGGTGATGATGATGGTGATGGTTAGACTGGTGTGGTGGTGGTGATGATGGTGGTGGTTAGACTGGTGTGGTGGTGATGATGATGGTGGTTAGACTGGTGTGGTGATGGTTAGACTGGTGTGGTGGTGGTGATGGTCAGACTGGTGTGGTGGTGATGATGGTGATGGTTAGACTGGTGTGGTGGTGGTGATGATGGTGATGGTTAGACTGGTGTGGTGGTGGTGATGATGGTGATGGTTAGACTGGTGTGGTGGTGATGGTGATGATGGTGATGGTTAGACTGGTGTGGTGGTGATGGTGATGATGGTGATGGTTAGACTGGTGTGGTGGTGGTGATGATGATGGTGATGGTTAGACTGGTGTGGTGGTGGTGATGGTTAGACTGGTGTGGTGGTGATGGTGATGATGGTGATGGTTAGACTGGTGTGGTGGTGATGGTGATGATGGTGATGGTTAGACTGGTGTGGTGGTGATGGTGATGATGGTGATGGTTAGACTGGTGTGGTGGTGATGGTGATGGTTAGACTGGTGTGGTGATGGTGATGGTTAGACTGGTGTGGTGGTGGTGATGGTTAGACTGTGGTGTCTGTGACGAGTCAACAAGTCCACGTCTAACAAGAGCTGTCAACGCCCCACCTCAACCTCCGCTTAACGAGAGCGAGAGATACCCAATCCGTACGCCGGTGGGCAGCAAGGAGCTTTGTAGCTCATCGGATTCCTCCCCGCAATAACAAAATGAAAACGCTCCGATTCTCTGCGTGTTTAAGTGACTCCACCACCCCCTCCCGGCAGAGTGGGGCAGCACTGCACTGACGTCAGTGGAGTGGATTCGGCCTCGTCGTGAGAGAGGAGCGGCGACTCTCACCTGGGAGCCAGCGGTCGTCTGTCCGCGGTGAAGCCCGCGGGGGTTAGCGGGTCGTGCCCGCTGCGCTACGAACCCCGGCCACCCGAGTGCGATTCCGCCGCTGGGGAGACAAAGGCGGCCGGGCGCGGTGTTGGCCACCCAAACCCTCGTGTGCCGTGCTAACAGCACTTGCCCCTGAAGTCTGAGGCTATACGGGGGGGGGGGGGGGTTCTTGATTTCGCCGGGTGGCTAAACTGCAGCAAGTTGAGACAGCTGGTGGTGCATCTCTCGGTCATCTCAGTCGGCCAAACCCATGGCACTTGCTGGGTGTCCCGAGACCTGCACCTAGCCTGGCACAGTAGGGGGGGTACAGCTGGTGTGCATCTCTCGGTCATCTCAGTCGGCCAAACCCATGGCACCTGAGTCTGCCCCGAGACCTCCCGTCAGCATTGAGCCGTCGACACTTCACGTGATGGCCTCAAAGTGCACCTGGCCTGGCACAGGCGCCGTGGTGACGTCACCGTCACTTGGTGGCGAATGGCGGGGTAGCAGAATTGGTCGCCTGACGAGACTGCAACCCCAACATCACTCCCGGGGGTGGGGGGGGGTAGAGTGGTAGGGTGACTTCCTCGCCGAAGCGTGCCGGCGACGAAGGAGGTGGAGGATTGGTGGCCTCGCCGTTTGAGATGGAGTGAGTAGTGATGGGGGCGGGGGGTGATGTTACTTATTTTACTGTGGCTCTTCACTCCAGTGACGTCACTGCGGTGTAGTTGTGGTGGTGGTGAGTGTTGTAACTCGCACAGGAAGAGCGGCCAAATGTAGCCCGGTTGTCACCACCACCCCCGCCGATCTATTGTGTGCGCGAGAAGCTCGGTCACGTTATTCACGTCGCCTCGGTGGAGTGAGAGGGTGACACTCGAACCGACGGTCTTCCGTCGGTGCCACGCGCCCAGGGGGGGGGACGCCTGTGTCAGGCCGCCCGCCATCTATTTGGCACATCGGCGGGCCCCGTGGCGGGGCCCGTGGCGGGAATGCAGCCGCAGGGTGACGGAACGTTGGCACGGCGGGGGGGGTGGAGGTGAGCGTGTGCGCTCCCGACCCCGGCGGATTTTCGTCCCCCGCGGAGATGGAGCGGTCGGGCGGAATCGGCGACGGTGGGGAAAGGGGGGAGGGGCTCGTGGGGGCCTTCATCCAGCAGTGGACGGAGCATGCCTCGCGGCGCCGACGGCAGGGACGCGGCGTGGTTTATCCCCGGTCCTTTGTCGGCATCGCCACAGGCGTCGCCGGCGCCCTCGGAATCGTGGGTGGCATAAAGATCGCGGTGATCTTTATCAGCGGCTTGGTCATCGGTGCCTCGGTGGCAAGTCTTGTACGGTAGTTCTCTTGTGGAGACGCTTGTCCCCCGTCATAGGCATGTGGAATTTCCACCGCTGGCTTGGGGTCCCGCACACACCGCAATGGGTAGACGAGCGCCGGCCCTCGGTCCCTCACTCCGGCGTTGATGGCGTGGCCCAGCTGTGGCCCAGCTGTGGCCCAGCTGCGACCCAGGCATGGCCCAGCTGTGGCCCAGCCGTCCGTTCTGGTTCACAAACTAAACTCTTTGTTATTTTGCCAGGTAAAGGCCCCACTGAGCTGCCATGCAGCTCTCTTTCAGAAGCGCCCCGGCCATCTGAAATGATAGCTCAACAAAGTGGCCGATCATCATCGCCACGTGGAACTTCATAGCAGGCAAACGGCTCTAAACGCGTGGTGACGTCAGTTCTAAAACCGCGGAGGGGAACAAAGCCGGAGGACCCCGGAGAAAAATCCACGCGACCACCGGGGAAAGAGAGAGCGGGAGAGACGCACCGCAAACTCCAAATATGCAGCAGGTGTGTGGGTCGGGATCGAACCCGCGACCTCCTGCGTACCGGCCGAGGGAGTTAACATCGCACGAGCGAGGCGGTGCCCGCGCTCGCGAGCGGATGTCGGGGATCCCGCAACTCGACCACCAACCCCCCCCCACTGTGAGACTCCAGACGCCTTTTCCCGCGTGCGATGATCGCTCTGCGCCCCCTTAGGAAGGGTAGCGTCAGCGCCACGGCCGCTTCGTTTTTATTTACTCATCCTTACGACGCATTGGGCGAAGGCCTCTCGCGGCTGTGAGAAACATGGGTTCACGTCCAGATCGGGGTCAAACGGCCACCCCTTTTGGCTGTCGACACCATAAACTCATCGCTACCGCCGCCACCTTCCTCGCCGTCGTAAATCAACGCCGTCGGCGTCGTTTGCATCATCGCCGTTAAAATAAACACGGTCGTAATCGTCGTCATTATCATTATCATGACCGTGATCGTCACCATCACCATGATCGTCACCGTCATCATTGCCACCATCATTGCCACTATCATTATTATCATTATTACCACCAACATCACCATGATTGTCATCATGATCATCAGCATTATTGTCATCATGATCATCGTCACCGTTGTCACCTTCATGTTTAACACTGGCACCGCAACATTGCCGTCTCCATCCTGATCATCACCATCATTGTCCTCTTCACCATTTTCATCGCCACCATCTTCATGGTCATCATAATCAACTCACCCCAAGCGTCATCATCATCGCCATCATCACCACCACCACCATCGGCGTCATCATAATGATTATCTCTCATCGCTGTCAGACCTGGGGTTAATTATTTGTAATTGCGCAAGCATTGTTAGCTGTCTAAATGACCATTGCAATCAATGTGATTGTGATTACTGTAATTACCAATTGTAGAGTTAAAATTATAATTGACGACAGGCCAGATGATCACCACCATCATCATCTTCACCACGGTGTAGTTGAGATGGCGGTGATGGAGGCGATGACGATGATGACAGTCGGAAGAGCGTGGGTTCCAATTCCAAGCAGCAGCAGCAGTGACGTCGTTCATCTGTAGCAGCAGGATGAGCAGCAGTAGCATCAGCAGTGCTCTCATCAGCAGCATCATTAGGACCAGATTATTATCATCACTGGCCTAAATGAAACGGCAACAGCAGTGCCATCGGAGCAGTAAAAACGGATCATCGTCATCGGTATAGCATGAAGAGTAGCGATAGTATGTATCGTCATCAATCGTCAACATCGTCATCACCACGGGCAGCAGCGTGGTGGTGGTGGCCAAGTGGTAGCGCTTGCGCCTCGCAGCAAGGAGTACCTGGGTTCGACTCCCAACTCGGGCCGCCTCTGTGTGGAGTTTGTGTGTTCGCTCTCCCGCTGTTCTACAGAGTGAGCGAGTGCGTGGAGTTGGGGGGGGAGTGGTGGCGCAGCAGCTTTGGCGCGCTGCGCTACGAACCCGGTGACCCCAGTAATGTATAGTGTAGTATACAGTAGTGTATAGTGTAGTGTATAGTAGTGTATAGTGTACTAGTACAGCCACGCAACGGTTGTGTTGTGGCTGTACTAGTAAATCCACGACAACATTCACAATCTCATTAACGTGACGTGTCGCCAGTAATTACGGCGTATGTACCTATGTTGATTTGAAGGTTTCGTGACTGCAGGAATCCATGCTCTTTGGTTCTTTCGGTAAAGTCGCGTAGATAAAAAATTAAAACTTTAATTTTTTTATCCAGATCTTTAAAATTAATAGATCAGTAAAGAGTGTGGTGTACCTATGTTGAACTTCTTTAGCGCCGTACGTAGCTCGCCGTGCTCGTCGGAGTGTGTGTGGGGGGCAAGGACAACACCAACACTAAACACAACAACACTAAACACAACAACACTAAACACAACAACAAAAGGCAGTCCAAAATTAAATTGTAGTTTCCAATTGAGATGTAAAAGTCAGCCGATGTTCGCGATCACAAAGTGATCTCTCTCGTTCTGAGAGCGATCACAAATATATCTCGTCCTGAGAGTGATCACAAAGTGATCTCTCTCTCGTCCGGAGAGTGATCACAAAGTGATCTCTCTCTCTCTCGTCCTGAGAGTGATCACAAAGTGATATCTCTCTCTCGTCCTGAGAGTGATCACAAAGTGATCTCTCTCTCTCTCGTCCTGAGAGTGATCACAAAGTGATCTCTCTCTCGTCCTGAGAGTGAGCACAGAGTGATCTCTCTCTCTCGTCCTGAGAGTGATCTCTCTCTCGTCCTGAGAGCGATCACAAAGTGATCTCTCTCTCTCGTCATGAGAGTGATCACAAAGTGATCTCTCTCTCTAGTCGTGTGACGTAAACATCGCCACTGGGAAGACAAAGGCGGACGGGCATGGGGCTGGCCGCCACCCCCTCGTGCCGTGGTCTGTCTATGTGAGGCGGGTGTGTGCTGCTGCTCAAGAACAGCACTTGCCCCAACAACATTCTCTTAAGGCTACACGGGGGACATTTGTCTCTGCGCCGGCGGATAATTTACAGCGCTGTCAAACGTACGCGTGAATGTGTGTGTGTGGGATGACTTTTAATTAAATTAATTTACCGTGTCCCTTTCATTTTGATTTGCTAATTTTGCGGTGCGAGTTCCCGCACGGAATGTTTAGCCTCATTATTAATTTACTTTAGAGCAGAGTTGCCCATCGGCCAAATACAAAAAGCGTCAGACGGCCAACAACTACCAGCACTAGTAACATTTGTAATGCAGTCGATGAGGTTTAAACCCGTTTTCTTGCATGCGGCAAGTTTATTGTTATGAGAGCTTAAAGTTATCTAAAGCTATAAACTATTTTTATTTTACCAGGTAAGGCCCCAATGAGCTGCTGGGTAGCTCTTTGTCAGAAGCGACTTTTCCACAATAAATGATAGCTCAGCGAAGTTGCTCGTCATCAACGTGTGGAAGTTTATAGCTGCACCCAAATACCCTAAACGCGTGGTGGTGATGTTGATTCTAAACGTGGAGGGGAAAAATCGGAGGACCCGGAGAAAAATCCACGCGACCACGGGGAGAGCGACACGCAGACTCCAAATATACAGCAGCAGGCATCGTCAGGGTCTGGATCGAACCCACGACCTCCTGTATACCAGGTGAGGTAGTTAACATCTCCTAGCCACTGTGATGATGATTAGAGAGAGAGAGACAGGCAAACTCCAAATATACAGCAGCAGCAGGCATTGTCATGGTCTGGATCGAACCCACGACCTCCTGTACACCAGGCGAGGTAGTTAACATCTCCTAGCCACTGAT